GGGGGGGGGGGGGGGTCACAGAACAATGGTGGTGTCGTGAGGAGCATCTGAGTAAGGAATGTTTTTGGCAGAGATGGAGAGTTTCTTGGGGTTTGCTTTAATCTAGAGCTATGAAACCAAGAGGAATGACCTGCTAGCTGAGCAGCTCTTGGTGTGGCTAAAACAACCTCAAACAGACCAGTCCATTGAGGCTGGAGTAGTGTAAGGTCTTAAGAAGGACTCAATCCCCCGGTATGAATGTTAAATCAGCTGGAATTTTTTTTTTTTTTTTTGGATGAGGCTTTAGAAGAGAGCAATCTTCACATTCTCTCGTGACGTGTCTAATAAGGTTAAGGGTGGGAAGATAACCTCCCAGTATCGAACTGATCAAAGAGAAGAGGGCATCCATACATGAGTTCAAAAGGACTGAGGAAAGATGGGGCCTGTGGAGTAGCCCTAATGTGAGCCAAAGCCATGGGAAGGAGTTTGATCCATGGTCTTTGTGATTCTAGAGAGAGTTTGGTTAGATGTGTTTTGAGGACAGAATTTGCCTTTTCTAGTTTTCCTGAGGATTGGGATCTATAAGGAATATGTAGTTTCCAGGTTATGCCAAGGGGTTGGTCTACCTGTTGAGTGATCTGAGAGATAAAAACTGGCCCATTATCGGATTGGAGGCAGAGTGGGAGGCCAAAGTGAGGGATGATTTCTCATATAAGAAATTGTGTTACCTCTGAGGCAGTTTCTGATCTCATAGGGAAAGCCTCAATCCACTCTGAAAAAGTGTCTACTAGAGTGAGCATGAGTTATTTTTTGTGTTGGTGGCATATGATTGAAATCAATTTGCCAGTCTTCTTCTGGGATATGTCCTGCAGTCTGATGTGTTGGGAATGAGGAAATAGGCTTGAGGACTCCCTGCAGTGAGACTAAGGAGCAGATAATCCAAGAGTGAATGATTTTTTGTAGGAGTGAAAGAAGGTTAGGATAGGTGATAAGAGGTCTTAAGAGATGATAAAGAAGTTTAGTGTCTAAATGTAGGGTCTCATGAATGTCCATAAGAATCAAATGGGACCTAATTAAACTTAAAAATTTTTGCACAACAAAGGAAACTATAAGGAAGGTGAAAAGACAGCCTTCAGAATGGGAGAAAATAGTAATAAATGAAGAAACAGACAAAGGATTAATCTCAAAAGTATACAAGCAACTCCTGCAGCTCAATTCCAGAAAAATAAATGACCAACTCAAAAAATGGGCCAAAGATCTAAACAGACATTTCTCCAAAGAAGACATACAGATGGCTAACAAACACATGAAAAGATGCTCAACATCACTCATTATCAGAGAAATGCAAATCAAAACCACAATGAGGTACCATTACACGCCAGTCAGGATGGCTGCTATCCAAAAGTCTACAAGCAATAAATGCTGGAGAGGGTGTGGAGAAAAGGGNGATGTAGGGAGTGGTAGGATGGATATAAGGGACTTTCAATCAGTACTAATATATCTTGTTTGTTTGGTGTTAAAAGGATTCTGAGACGGGTGACTCTAGGAAGAGACAGCTGGACTTTGGTGGGAGGTACTCAATAGCCTCTATCAGCTAGAAAATTAAGGAGTTGTATAGTGTGTTGTTGACAGTGTGTAAATGAAGGACTACAAAGGAGGAGATCATTCACATATTGGAGGACAGTACTTGGAGTGAGGTCAGGAGAGGTTAGGTCTGATGCTTGAGCTTGGCCAAGAAAATGAGGGCTATCACGAAAGTCTTGTGGGAGAACTGTCCATGTCAGCTGTTGGAAGCAACAATTGTCTGGATCTGACCAGGTAAAAACAAAGAGGTCTTGAGAGTCTGGGTGTAACGGAATGGTAAAGAAGGCATCCTTGAGTTCTAGAACAGTGAAGTGGGTAGTGGAAGAGAGAATGAGAGAGAGAAGAGTATAAGGATTTGGAACTATTGGGTGTATGCGGTAACAGCCACATTGATAAGTCTCAGGTCCTGGACCAGGTGATAGGAATCATTTGGCGTTTTGATGGGTAGGACAGTGGTGTTATAGGGAGAGAGAGTTGGGCACAAGAGGCCCTGATGTACGATTTTTGTGATGATAGGATTTAACCCTTGTTGATGTCTTTGGGAGATGGGGTATTGTGGTTGATTGGGGAATTTAGAGGGGCATTTGAGACAGATATGAATTGGAGCATGATGAGAGATGTGTGTATCCCAAACTATGGGGTTTACAGATGAGAAGGGCAATGGGGTAGGGGAAGAGGATATGGGGTTGAGGAGCAGTAGCCAGTTTAGATCAAAAGGTGGACTTGGGATAGTAATAGAGGCTTTGGATTTTGAGAGAAGGTCTCTCCCAAGAATAGGAATGGGGCATTCTGGGAGTATGAGAAAAGAATGGGGAAATGGGGTATCTTGAAGTGTACAAGGTAGAGGCTCAGTTATCCCTGGTGTAGATATTAAACCCCCATAACAGAGACCTGAGAGACCTTGGTTTTTCCAGAGCAGGTAGGCACAGCAGAGTAAGTGGCCCCCATGTCGATGAGAAAAGAGATGGGCTTACCTGCCACAGTGAGAGTCAGGGCTCCGTAGAGGTGATGAGGGTTGGGGTCTGGGGCCCTGGGCAACTACAGTCTTCAGTAGCAAGTCCAAGGAGGCTGGGCAGAGCTGGATTGGACCACTCCTGCTTGGACCAGGAGGGGATGTCCAGCTCCCTAGAGGGGAATTTGGGCAGTCGACCTTCAAATATCCCTTTATGCCACAGCTGGAACATGGACCTGGAGGGGGCCTTGGCTTTAGCCATAAGCAGGCCCAGCAGCCTTCTTTGCCACATTTGAAGCAGGGCCCAGGGGGCTTCCTTTCTTTGTTGGCTGATGGAGTCTTGGAGCCATGTAGGGCAGTGACTAAAAGGTGGTATTTGGCCTAATCTCATTGGGCCTTCTCTAGTTTTGCCTGTTTTTCCCAGTTCAACGATAAATTTAAAAGGTCTTGTTGAGGGGTTTGAGGACCTTTTTCATGCCTAGTTTCTTTTGGATATCTGGGGATGATTGGGAGATAAAATAGGTGTTAAGGACAATGGTGCCCTCTGCTGAAGTGGGGTCTAATTTTGTATATTTTTGTAGGGCTTCCATTAACTTGGCTAGAAATTGTGCTGGGTTTTCATCTAGTCTTTGTTATTTCCCAGAACTTATCAAAGTTGACGACTTTATACCCTGCCTTTTGAAGGCCCACCATGAGGCAAGCAATCACGTGATTTCGGGATGCTTGTCCAGGTCTCCCTGACTGGTAACCCCAGTTGGGATCATCTTGGGGGACAGCCATTGCCCTACAGGCTTAGTGTCCTCAGGCCTGTGTATCTCATCAGCATGCACCTGAGAGGCTTGCCATACTCCTTCCTTCTCTTCTTGGAGAAGAGTAGAGGATGATGTAAATATCAGGCCAGGTTAAGTCAAAGGTTGGGAAAGATACTTGAATTCTTTTAGATAAGTATTAGGGTCTGAGAGGAAGCAGCCAAGATGCTTTTCAATTTGAGACAGATGGTGAAGGAGAATGGGACACGAACCCGAACAATGCTTTCTGCTCCAGCTGCTTTCTGTAAAGGCAGGCATGGAACAGGGAAAGGAGTGGGGTCCTGCTGTGAAGTTTCCTGTTTTAAGCTTGTTCGGGGCTGGGTATGGGGAGGGGATCGAGGGAGGTCGGGATAGAGACCTGGGACCCTTGGAGTAGAGTGTGGGGATGAGGTCTCAGAGCTCGCCTCTGGCACAGGCAGGGGAGGGGGTGGGGAGCTGCAGAAGAGGGGAAGGAGGGGGGGCATAAGGTGGAGGTTTCAGAACTGGATCTGGAGCTGGTGCAATGGGATTGGGAGCAATAGGGAGTGGACTGTGGTCAGAAGGGTCGAAGGAAGAAGGAAAGTCTGAACAGGGATCGGGAGAGATTGTATTAGAAGGATGTGGCCCAGAGTGGGCTAAGAGTGTTTGAGAAGTAGAACAGAATTCACAGAGAAAGGGTTGAGAGCAAAGAGCAAAAAAAGCCTAAATGTAAGGGATTTCTAACCACAGCTGGATTTCTGCCAGCTGTTGTTCTGGCAGCAAAAGTTATTGAGGTCCCATAGAGGATTATAATCGAGAGTTCTGTTTTCTGGCTATCAGGACCTATTATCAAGTCTGTATTGTGGCCAGAGTGTTAGAAAAGTAAGTAAGTCTTTTTGGCCTTATCTCCTCTTGGAAGCCTAAGGCTTTTAGGTTTTGGAGACGACATCCTAGAGGAGTAGATTTTGAGGACTGGAATTGAGAATTTCCCATTGTGGCTGAATGGTGAGGTTAGACAAATGCGAGCAAAAGTGAGGAGAAAGATCCCAGGGAAAAGTCATCCCCACTCTCAGGACTTTCTCAGAGTAATAATAGTCTGTTTTGAAAGGGGCATCCCCTATTTCAAAGTCAGACTGGGCACAAGGCTGAGGGCCTAAGGGCCGTGGGTGTCCTCCTGCCTAGCACTAGTACTTGGAAAGGAGGCGAGAGAGAGAGGATCCGAGAAAATGGGATTTCACTCACCCTTGTAACCAACGGACGCAATGTGGGCTGGTGTGTGGATGTCAGTCCAGCAAGGTGAGTGGAGAGCCCTGTCCTAGAGCTCCTCTCAGCTTCTCGGCAAGGTCCAAGGGAGGGGGACCACCAGAGGTGCGCTTGTGCGAGGAGCCCAGTTGTGGTGGATCTTCCCTCCTGGGTTTTGGCACCAGAATGTAAGGTGAGTGCAGAGAAAAAGCGAGCCGGGCAATCAGGCAAAAGGAAAATTTATCAGAGGGTGACTGGCCCTGAAGGAGAAACAGTGTCCTCCCTTTCTTATTGTAGCTTTCTTATACCCTGTTCCTTTATTGGACCAGAACCTGGTGGCCCGAAGTCGGTGATGAAAAAGTGAAGGAAGGAAAGAGGCTAATATTCCCTGGGTTCCGCAGCCGGCTTTCGCGCTCCAGGAAATCAGCCAGAAATATGTATATATATATATCGGAGAAGGCAAGGGCAGTAGCTCTAACTTCAGTACTCTTGCCTGGAAAATCCCATGGATGGAGGAGCCTGGTAGGCTGCAGTTCATGGGGTCGCTAGGAGTCGGACACGACCTCACTTCACTGAGTGGCTTCACTAAGCGGCTTCACTTTCACTTTACACTTTCATGACTTGGAAAAGGAAATGCAACCCACTCCCGTATTCTTGCCCGGAAAATCCCAGGGAAGGGGGAGCCTGGTGGGCTGCTGTCTATGGGGTCGCACAGAGTCGAACACGACTTAAGTGACTTAGCCGCATGCATATATATATATATAGAGAGAGAGAGAGAGACGGGGGACCCAAGCTCTGATGGAGCAAAGGTGTTTTAATCAACATGGTGTGCGCATATATACTGTCTTACAAGGTAGTTATTCTCAGCAAAGATAAACATTAAAATTCCAGATTTACAAAACATAAGGCAATCCCTATTAAAGAGAGAGAGTTGTAAACAATCACTTGTTACTGTATGTTTTATAAGAAGGAGAAGGGTACTTATCACCGTATTGAAAAACTAAAAACTAATGAAGGAAATGCCTGGATTCCTCAGCCCGGGGAAAGGCTTGCCTCTCCTCTTCATTCCTGAATATTCAGGAATTAATAAGGACCAGAGGATTCCTGACAGATCCAAAACAGCACACAGGAAGCCTCCTGTTCAATGCTTCCTGACAGCCCGCCAACAAAAGATTCTCCAAAGTGATGATTAATTTTTAGCCTGTAGTTGAGTTCTGTGGTCACATAACGAGGCGGTCTGGAATCTGGGGGTCTCCTAGCCTTGAGAAGGTAGGTGCCAGTGAGAAAACTGAGTCGTTTGGACAATTCAGTCCATTTCAAGGATCACTGTGATTTTATTCTTTGTTTGTGAGGTTGACATAATGAGCCATTTCTACCATGAGCCCCCATGTGGGCCCTATCAATTCCCAATAACCGAAGCTGGAGTAAATTGAGGGGGAAAAAAAAAGGTACATTTTCTATTATAACTCAAGTATAACATAAACATCCATGAGTCTATATTAACATAAATTAATAAATTAAGAGGGAGTTTGTAGACAAATTTCTCAAGCAGAAAATTTCCAAATAATTTCTGTAGATACTATGCCTTCAATTGAAGGCATATGTGATGCATAGCTCCCTACCTTTTATGTGTAAGCTCTGCGTAGTGACTTTCTTCCAAAGAGTATTATATTGAAAGGGGGAAGAAGGAACTTGGTGGTACAGTGGCTAGGAGCCTATGTTACCAATGCAAGGTGCCCAGGTTCTATGCCTAGTCAGGAAACTAGATCCCACATGCTGCAGCTGAAGATCCTGCATGCTGCAACTAGGACGCAGCATAGCCAAATAAATACAAATAAACATTTTAGAAAGAAAGATGAAGGAGAGTAGCTCTACAACTCTATTAGCCTGGTAATCAAGATTAGCTTCAGTTAATTGATTATCTTATTGATAGTATATAGTCTTGATATAATGTGATTAAAGTGACATTTTACATCTGAAATCATCCCCTCAAAATCTCATAACTTCATCCTAATATGAGAAAAATACCCAAAAAAACCCAGTTAACAAGTACATGGACAGTATTTCTAAAATCTCTCAATGTCACAAAAAATAAGTATGTCTGAAAATCTGTCATAGCCAAGAGTATCCTGAAGTGACTTGATGACTCCATATAATGTGTTATTCTGGGTAGAATCCTGAAAGAGTAAAGGGAAAATCAAAGAATTCTGAATAAAGTATGGATTCTAGTTCATAATAATGTATCAGTAGTAATTCACTTGCTGTGAAAGTTTGCCATACCAATGTAAATATTAATCACAGGAAAACTGGGTCTATATTATATGGAAAATGTATGTAGCCTCTTTCAACTTTTCTGTAAGTTAACATCTATCATAGAATTAAATGTATAATGTTATGTTTTATAGATTTATTATAAAATAGTCTCTCAACAATTTTTAAAAATGTAGCTTTATTTTAAATTTCCTGAGCATCCCAAGTAATTCACATTAGATCTAAAATAACTGCCTTCCCTGAAAATGCAGGTTGGAATCCATATTTCTACAATTTCCCTGTTGGATCTCCCAGCTGCTCTGAGATAACTCTGCAGTGAATATCTGCATTCAGCAATCCTTTCTCTCTACAGAAGATCAAACCAGTACCAGAATCTAATTAAAAATCTCCATGCAACTGACTCAGCAGGACTTGAGGCAAGAGTAAAATTTTTTCATTATCTGTCCAGGGTGACCATACAGGGAATAATATATCATCTGTGGGAATAAAAGCTCATTTATCCTATTGGTTTTCAAACACAGACTGGTACATGGAGCATGTAGCAAGAGGTTTCATTAAAAGCTATGATTTTATGTTTTCCACTAAATACAATAAAATAGGAATTATCATTGAACAAACTATAAATATTTCTCTTCTAATCATAATTACATATATGAGGATAAACAAAGGGAAGATATTTTTCCCATTTATTCATGTGCAATTTAATAAAAAAAAAATTGAGCTGAGCTTAAAACAATCAAGTTTGGAGGTATAAAATTCAAAAATGTTACAATAAAGAAAGGAATATAACTGAATGAATGGAGCATAATTTACCTCAGGTATTTTCAGAAACTACTGATTCTATTCTACTAGTTTTAGAATTCAATAATACTATATTTGTGTAGACTGGCTCCCAAAACTGTAAAATATCAATGATTGATTTGACTTCTGGGTATTAGCATAATAGGACACTACATACTGGAAATTTCTTACTACAAACATTTATGAATGCTAGAATATTTACTAAGCATTACATTAAATGCAATATTAGCTTGTATAAAAGAATGTGACTAATAGAGAAATCCTCAGATTCCAAGAGAATAGAAATGAAACAAAGACCAATAAATATAAGCGGTCATGCAGCAACCACCCTAGGAAAGGGATAGGCTAAGAGGGTTCCCAGTATCTGCAACTGAAGAAATAGAATTTAATGTCTTCCCAGTGATAATAAAAGAACATTTTAAGAGAGTAATGGATAGGGAATTGGAACTAAGACCATTATATAAATATATCTGAATAATTACTAAATTATTTAATTTGAAATATTTCATCCATGAGCATAAGATTAAACAGAAAAAAAAAAAAAACAACAAAGAACAGACAACAAAACTTAGCTCATTTTACCTGGGTTCAGAATATAAGATTAAAGAATTATCCTCTAAGAATACATAATGTAAGCTCTTTCACTTTGTTAATTGAGATTTGAATTTACTTTGTCATCACAGTCTGTGATGATTAATTTTATGTGTTAACTTGACCAGGCCAGATATTAAACATTAATCTGTGTGTTTCTGTGAGTGAGATTTGGGATGAGATTAATATTTAAATCAGTATTTGTGAGTAAAGCAATCCCCCTTCATAATGTAGATGGGCCTATCCAATCACTCAAATGCCTGAATATAGCAAAAAATAGACATTTTCTCAAGTAAGAGAATTCTGCTGTCTGATGGCCTTCAAACTGGACATTAGCTCTGCCTGGCTCTACAGCAGTCTCCTGGCCTTGGGCTCAAAGCAAGATAACTTCTCTAGAAGTGGCTTCAGACTCAATGAGGACATTGTCTCTGCAGATTTTGCACTGGTTTTGCCAGTTTTCATAATTGTAGTAGCCAATTTCTTATAATACATCTTTTTGTATATAGCACATAATGATAATGACATAGATAGACAGATGGATAGATAATGATAGATTATCCTATTGGTTCTGTTTTTCTGGAGAACCTGGAATGATACATGATCCCAAGACATTAACATGAAAAGCAGTGTGAGGCCAGTGACTCTCCTATAGTGACTTGCAGAACCAGTTAAAAAGTTTGCTAGTAAAGTCATAAATGCAGGCTATAAAGGATTCCTACAGGTAAAGCAAAATTTAAAAGTGAACACACAATCCAAAGTAATAAAATGAACCAGAAAATGATCCTGCATGATCCTCAAGATCAAAATAAATAGAATGAGTACCCTAAATCTCACATGATGAGTATAAATTAGCATATTTAAAATTATTAAACATATAAACTAAATAAAATTATAATAAAAAATAAGACATCAAGATAAAGTACATCCAACATTTTTTTAAAAATCCAGAAATTAAAACAATTTTCAAAAACATACTGAAATGTTGAGTTAAAAGATATACTTATAAGATCTAATTTATGTCATACATGAATTCTAGAAATATAGAATGAACAGGTAGTAATATTTCAAGGGAAAATAGATTAGATTTCTCAAATTTGATTAAAAGTACACTCTCTCACATTTAAGATGTACAATGGATTCCAAAGCAACTAAATAAAAAGGTGATACATAGATATATTACAGTAAAATAGAAAAATGCCAAGGTGTTGAGATCCTAAAGTTGTTAGTTTCCTTAAAAATCATATTACTTATAATGAAATAATAATTAGGCTGACAGCAGACTTACAGTAGCAAGAAAATGCAACAGAGAACATTTTTCTTCAATACACAGAGAATATAGGATTCCCTGGTAGCTCAGTTGGTCACAAATCCGCCTGAAATGTGGGAGACCTGCCTTCAATCCCTGGGTTGGGAAGATCCTCTGGAGAAGGGAAAGGCTACCTACTCCAGTATTCTTGGCCTGGAGGATTCCATGGAGTGTATAGTCCATGAGGTCGTAAAGAGTTGGATACCACTGAGTGACTTTCACTTTCACTTTCTTTCACAGAGAATATATGTAATAGTCAAACTAAAGTAATATGGCGAACTAAGCTATTATTCAAGAATATGGGCAAAATTAAGATACTTTTGAACAATTTTTGAGAGGTTACTTCTCATAAACTCTCATCAAAATAATTACAGGATACTGGTATACATGCTAAGTCGTTTCAGTCATGTCTGACTCTTTGCACCTAATGGACTGTAGCCCACAAATCTCACCTGTCCATGGGATTCTTCAGGCATAAATACTGGAGTGGGTTGCCATTTCCTTCTACAGGGTACTGGTATACATTGGCATTATTGTGGACTCAGTTCCTGACCACCACAATAAAGCAAGTCACATGAATATTTTGTCTTCCTAGTGAATATAAAGTTATGTTTACATCATAGTACTCTATGATGACATCATAGTGTACTCTATTAGGTGTGCAATTACATTATATTCTTTAAAAAACAATGTATATACTTTATTTTTTTTATTTTTTTGTACATACTTTACTTTTAAAAAAACTTCATTGCTAAAAAATAATCATCTAAGTCTTCATTAGTCGTAGAAGTAAATTTGAAATATTGCAAGAATTATCAAAATGTGATATACAGATACAAAGCAAACAAACACTGTTGGAAAAATGATACTGATGGATTTGCACCAGGAACAGTTGCTTTAAACTTTCAATTGTAAAAATCACAATATCTACAAAGAGCAATAAAATGAAGTATGAAGACAAAAAGAAATTTGTCTCAATGGAAAGATCATAATGGGGGGAAATGATGAGAGAAGAAATTGGCAGAGCTGAATAATTGCATGTGATTTATAACAAGTAACAGAAATAGTAGTACTTCCTAATTTGAGAGATATAAAATGACATGGAAATAATATAATAAAATGTATGAGAGTAGAGAATAATAATCAAGCACTCCATGTCTTTGTCTTATTCAAGAATTGGTAGATATTATTAATTAATGATAGAGTTGCCTGGGTCAAGTGTGAATGTTGGAAATACAACAGTAGCTATGGAAGGCAAGAAAGTAGAAGCCGCAGCTATGGAAGAAAGTAGAAGTAGAAAATAGAAGTATAGAAAAGTAGAAGTATGGAAAGTAGAAGAGCTATCTATGAAAGGCAAGAAAGTAGAAGGGCAGTAAGGTATATAGGCACAAAGGAAAGTAGGAAAGACAAGGATAATTTCCAAGTAGAAAAAAATTTTAAATTGAAGAGGAAAAAAGAAAGTTTAAAAAGAAGAGGAATAGACTTCAAAAGCCAAGAAAAAAAATTAATAGAAAAATAAGAGAGAAAATCAAACCTAGTCAGATAGGGCTGTGAGTTTACATCTTAATCTAACCTTCTGCCTCTCTGTTTTCTCTAAGTACATAGCAAAGGCAAAAACTTGTCAAAATTTTGTAAACAGGAAAATAATAATAATGAAACGACTTTCATGAATTGCACCTGAATAATAATTTTAATAAAAAGAAAATAACAATGCAAGCTAAAAGGTAAANAACCTTTTAGAGCTAATAAATGAATTTAGCAGTTTCAGGATAGAAGATTAACACATAAAGATCAGTTGTATTCCCATACACTAGCAATAAACAATCTGAGAACATGAAGAAAGTCATTAATTTACAATAACATTTAAAATATAAAATGCTTAAGAATTAACAACAAGCCTGACTTTAAAGTACAAAACATTGTTGAAATAAAGAAGACTTAGATAAACAGGGCAATCCTATGTTTGTAAATTAAATGAGTTAATATTGTTAATATGCCAAATTCCCCCAAACAACCTATGAATCAACACAATTCCTATCAAAATCTGAATGACCTTTTGTAGAGAATTGAGAAGGCTGATATTAAAAATTCATATGGAAGTGCAAGACCCTCAGTAGGCAAAACAATCTCATAAAACTTTTGAGAAGGTAACAGGCAGGAAGGCCAGGGATCTCCAAATGGAGGAAATTAGCTGCAAGTGTCAGATATTTTCTCTCTCTCTCTTAAGCAGCAGGAGGAAACAAACCAGTGTTATATATATGTATATATATATATTTATTTATATATATGTGTGTATATATATATTTTATATATGTATATATATTTATTTATATATTTATATATGTATATATATTTAATGACATGAAAACTTTTAGATAAGCTCTATTAAAAAATTGTATTTTTGATAAAATGGTCTATTCTCTATAATCTGGACAGGTCTCTTGGGATTAGACTGACTTAGGTTGCTGGAGTTGTGCTGAACTAAGTAGTAGAAGTTTGTTGAATTGCTGGGACATTTCCAAATGAATTAGAATTGTAAAGCGTTAATAGCTGAACATTGGCTTACTCTTACAAGGGGAATTTCTTACAGAAGAGCTGAAGAGATTTTGAGCTGTTAATGAATATAAGTATATGTTTGTACTGGAATGGATGTATATACAATATAATATGTTTTGATAAATATGTTCAATGATCTGTAAAAT